GGGCGCGACACCGAGGGTTGCGATCCCGTTGCCGGTCCCGGTCTGGTACGGGCGCGACACTGAGGGTTGCGATCCGTTGCCGGACACGAAAAAAAACAAATAAATAAATAAATAAATAAATAAAATAAAAGGAGACAAGAAAACTTACCTAAAGCTGCCTCAGATCAGAGTTCCGGGGAATTTCTAGCAGGATTTGCACGTGAGGAGGAGCACTGTGGGTGAGCTGCGCATGGCGAGTTCTGGCCCTGCACGTAGGGCCCATGCATTGTCTCTGCCCTTCCGCTGCCTTCTTCTCTATTCTTTCTTTACTGTTAATGACATTTATTTCTAAAATCACAGGCCTTATCCCACCTTCTCATTTTATAGATGAAAAAACAGAGGCCTGGGGATGTTGACCTTCCCGAGGCCACACAGCTCAACGCCACAGCCTGAATAGAACTGGGGTTGGGGGACGTGTGGGGCAGTCCCAACTGGAAATCAGCTGCCAACTGCCCTCGTACAGCAAGGGTGGTGGCATGGGCCTAGCACCCAGTGCACGTGCTGCCAGAAACTCTCAAAGTGCCATTTCCCAGTGGCCTCTTGGGCCCCCTGACAGCATTGGGGCTCCGCTCGAGACTATTTACTTACATGGTGATTGGCAGAAAGTAGACACTGCCAGGCCCCTTAAAGACTAGGCCAGAAACTGGCATGTGTCACTTCTGTCACATTCTGTCTGTCAGAAGAGGTCACAGGCCAGCCCAGCCTCCAGGGGAGGGGGGATGCAAAAGGGAGAGAAGGAGCCAACAAACACCGTCTTGGGGGACCACCTACCCTACATGTCAGGGACACTGGGGAGAATCATTTACCTTCATCCTCCGCACTCAGCAAGTTCCAATAAATACTGGACAGACGGATGAACAGAGTGATCTGGGGGTCAGTTTCTGCAGAACTCCAGGGGACCGGAGAGTTCTACAGCGTGAAGCCCTCAGCCCAGATGTCTCCCTCTTCCCTCGCTTCCTGCCCTCCATGACACTGGCCATGAAGAAAACTGACCGCTCGTCTTTTGTACTTTGCCTTGAAGGAGAACTGAGACTCTTTGACTTTCCTCTTTTAAAACTCTCTACTAGACTTTAGGAAGTAGGAGGACAGGGACCAAAAACTTCCTTTAAGGATCTCTCAGCATATCCCGACTACCCGCTGCATTTTCTTCAAGGACTGAGGCTGCCACCTCCTCACCTGAGAATTAAAAAAAATAAAATTAAAAAAAACCATAGCGTAGGGCCGGCCCAGTGGTGCACTCGGTAGAGTGTGGCGCTTGGGAGCGCGGCAGCACTCCCGCCGAGGGTTCAGATCCCATATAGAGACCGGTCCGCTCACTGGTTGAGTGCTGGTGCGGGCGCGACACTGAGGGTTGCGATCCCGTTACCGGTCATGAAAAAAGACACAAAGGAAAAAAAAAAAAAAACCATAGCGTAGAATCTCGAGTCCACTGGCTTATTTTCTCACACGTCTGTGCCACTTTGAGGCAGGACCAGCCCAATCCCAGATCTCAGCATCCCCAAGGCCTCACTCTGCCTGGGACACACCAGAACTCAGTGTGGGAACCTTCTTGCATACTTTGTACACACTGGGCACTACGTTTATGGGGGACTTTGGTTTCCACTTTCTTCCCCTAAGAGCCTGTCTATGAACTTACCCAATTCTAGTTTTGTTGCTCTTAGCTGTCCAGGATGTAATACCCCTCCTGCCTAATTTTGGGGATCCTCCATCATGTTAGAGTGTCTCATTGCCCACTACACAGAGGGGCCAACATCCTGTCTCCCTGCTCCCACCAGGATGTGGGAACCTGACCTGCGCTGGGCCCCTCAGAGCCTCTCACCTGGTGCTCAGAAGCTGTTGAATGCATGAAGGAGGGAAGGAAGGACGGACAACAGGATTTACAGAGCAGTGCCCAGGAATGGCCTCTGCCACACCAAATCGGTTGTTAACGCTTCCTATTTCTTGGCTTTCCAGACGGGTATGCATTTTCCAAACCTGACTTCCTGTGATTCTACGAGCCCCCAATAGTCTTCCTGTACATTTTCTTTTTTTCGTCATAACAGATTCTATTTTCATTACTTGTTACTGAAAAGTTCCTAACCAATATGGACTTTGGTGCCAGGAGTGGGTACTGACAATTCCAGAGAAGGAGGGAGATAAGGAATGTCTGTGATTGGTTTTCTGCCCTACAGCAGGTAGAAAGGAGTGAAAGTTGGGCAGACTCTGGGATGGGGGTGGAGAAGCCATGGCAGGTGGTGGCATGAAGTTCACCGGAAGTTTCCTGGGATGGCCTCACTCTGGGTGACCTTGCCGCTGCTGTCCGAAGACAGTGTTATGAAACATCTCAGCCACAGGTGGGTGGCATTGGAAAAACGTAGACAAGAGAACAAGCTGAAGTCCCTAAAGTCTCCATTCAAGCCACAGGATGAAACAGAGAGACTGCCTGGCAGCACGCTGAACCTCATCCCTCCGAGAGGCAAGGCCACACATCTGAGACCCCAACCTGCGAGTGTGCGCCTCGAGCCACTCAGTGACTCAGCGGAGCTGGAGCCCTGGCAGGTTTCCCTGCTGAAAGGCAGAGCACTGACTGGGTGGAGGGAAGCCCCCAGTGTCAGAATGAAGACATTTAGGGGAAACCGGGAGGGCTCACAGTACCCAGGTCCACTCTCCTCTGTGCCCCCCTTGTCCTCGGAGGCAGCCCTGTTTTGTCTGATAACGTTGTAACATTTCTTTCCTGGTGGAGGGGTTGCCGGGCAAGAGGAAGCCTGATCTCCTCGTGCCCCCACCCTTAGCCCCACCCAGCTCCTGGTCTGTGCAGGATGTTTCCAGAGCATCCAGCCAGACCCTTGGGATCACCTGCCCCGGGCACCTCTGCGCTGTTTCCTGCTGCTGCCCATAGCTTGTCCTGCTGTCCCGTCACTCACGACGCAGCCGTCCACCTCCTTCCCATCCTCTCTATGCCCACCTGCCTCCCAGAGCTGGCTGCATTTCACTGCTGTTTCCTGCTGCTGCCCATAGCTTGTCCTGCTGTCCCGTCACTCACGACGCAGCCGTCCGCCTCCTTCCCATCCTCTCTATGCCCACCTGCCTCCCAGAGCTGGCTGCATTTCACCTTCTCCAGGGAGCCTTCACCAACTACTCAGGTGTACAAAGCCACCTGCCTCTGTGTTCTCGTGACACTGTCATGTGCTCTATTGGTATGGCGTCTGCTAACCTGTGCACAGCAGGAAGCAGGCAGGACACAGCCTGCATGCCAGCCCTCAGTCCACCATCTGCTGGCTGCCATGTGCAGGAGTCGCTGGAGCCGTGTGGACAGACACCACCCCTCTTTAGAGTGGGAACACCACACGTGTGGCCCTTCTCATGGGGGCGAGAGGTTGGATGGAACACGTGCACGTGTCTCTCCTCTCTAGACACCAGAGACGCTGACACTTAAGGGTAAGGGCTTGTACTGATGCCCATGAAGCTACAGCCTGGTCAGAAGAGATGACACGTCAAAACAAACAAGACAACACAAAAACCTTCTACCGCTAGTGAGCACACACTGAATGCACCGTTGCTGTGGACTCAGTGAGGCTGCACGGGGTAGGGGCAGAGATCACTGCAAGGCCTGGGGTCTCAGGAGAGTCCGACTCTGCATAGG